CGTATCGTAGTAGACTTAAAAACTGACCCCAACCTAGTTTGGGAAAAAAGCTTTGAGGAAGACATACATTTGAATCAGGTTACGACGATTTGATGCGGCGCTGGCACTATGAATACTTTATGAATTTTCTTTCTATGTATATGTATGTTTCTATACAGAAATCATATTGGTTTTCGCGTCTGAGATACATGGCTGAAATTCTTTTGAACGTAGGTTCAAAAGAATTTCAGCCATGTAGGTAGCTACAATAGGCTTCATCTTCTTATCACATCACATCAACAGCCTTTACTAGTCCTCTGCTGGACATAGGCCTCGCCTTAGAAAGGAGGTTTTGGCCTTCTATACCACACTAGCCAGACGGGTTGGTATAGGGTTTGTCTCAAAATTTTTTTCTCTTTGCAGTGCTGTTGTCCTGCGTAGTTTACTCCCTTAGTCGGCTCTTATGACACCCACGGGATGAATAGGATAGGTAACACACGGACACGGATCATCTTCTTAAATTCTGATAAAATTATTCTTGCTTAAGACCTATAGACTACATCAATTTGCAGTTATATATACACTGATCATATCTCTCCTGCATTACTCTGCTTAACTTTGAACATAGCGCCAAGGACAGTTTTCATCCAGTTAAGAAAATTCAAACTTAAAAAGCGTAATTAGTCTCACCTAAACCTCTCCTACATATTACATGGAAGAGGCATCTGAATTAAAACACTTACACGGAACCTTCGAACAAAATGTAGTCATTACAAAAAGCTTAACAAAACACTGGTCAAATTGAAAACCTCGTTTTCCTGAACGTTAAAAATACAAGCCATTGTTTTTTTTTTTTGATCTCAATTTAAAATCTCATCTTCCCATTGTATTCTTAATTAATTATTATCTCAGGAATTATTTTTCTTTAAACGAAATTAGTAAATTTTTGAGCTTTGTCTCAAAAGGTTGTTCAGGTCAAGGCTCCTAAATTTATTTAGATTTATATTTAAAACATTTTAGATCCAGACAAAAGCGTATTCTTAATTTGAAGATTGCAGGAGCGGGCACAAAAAAATTGTAAAGTCGTAATTAAAGGTTTTCGATTTTACAGGGATGTCTCAAGTGATATCAGTGTCATTTTTTTATGGAAGAGTGGGCAAACGAGCAGACGGGTCACCTGATGGAAAGCGACTACCGCCGCCCATGAACGCCCGCAACTCAGGAATCACAAGCGAGTTGCCGGCTTTTGAGGAAGATGTACGCTCTTTGTAATTCGTTTTTCATCACAATTTATGTAAGACCTTATGGTTATAAGTTTAACCTATGAACACCAGGCATTATATCACTGTCTTGATATCCACTATTAAAAAATTAATACTATTAAAATTATGTAAGTTTTTGTATTGATGATAGGATATAAATAATGTCATACCTAAATCCCTTGAATATTTTGGTTCTGAAAGGAAATATTATTCAGAATCTTCCTAATTTTGTTCTTTAGTTACTTTGATTCTATTTCAGTTAAATCAAAGAAACCTTAATAATTTACGTTCTCCACTTGTTAATAGTAAACTTTTTGAAAGAAGAAACAAAAAAAAACACCGCTATTCATGGCGTTCTTTTCACCAATAAGAGAAAACTTATGAACTGTGAATTCTGTAGGACTTCAGACGTTCTCAGATTCATATTTAAGCTAAACTTGTTAATTCAAGTTTTAATCAAGATGTATACACGCCTGACTGGACAATAAATCCAGATGAGCTGATACGTGACACGTCGTTACTCTTACTCATTAAATCAATGAAGCGATAAATTGTATCAAGAAAACGGTGTCTACGATTACTAACGCTACATAAGTTGTGAATATATATAGCGAGTCATATTGATTTTTCACCCACTTAAATTAATGAGTAGTTTCTTAAGTCCTCATTAGGTTTTTTTTTTGTGTACGCAATATTTTGACTTTTGTAAACCGATTTCAATCATATTTTTTTTGGAACGAAGTTTTTTGGAGCGGATGGGTACGAGACCGAAGAATGTGTAACAATACTTTTTTTTACACTTCTTGCGGAAGTTCGTTTTGACCCCGGCCATAGACACCCCACGCCGTTTTATTTTAATTGATTTTACCCCAAGGTCGTTCAATTTAAATTTGAAGTTTATATTTTACCTCAAGGACTATTTATTAGAACACCAAGAAATGGAAAATAAGGTTTATTACGATTTATTATGATTGAATCATATTGTAATTGATGATAATTTTCGAAAAGATGATTAGGCTAGGCTAGCCAAAGAATTCGAAAAACATAAGCATGATGACCATTATTCTCATGAAGATAATTTTTAAATGAGTATGTATGCATACATGTAATTATTATTGATTACAAAGAAACATCAACATAGGAATTGCAACCAAATATAATAATTGCAACTAAACTAAGCAAACTACGTAGGAAAACAGCACTGCAAAGAGAAGGAAAACTTAAAACAAACCATGTAAAAAAATAAAGTCTGTTTAATTTGAAATTCATTTTGTACAGTACCCGACCTTGCAAAAACTCGGTCACTAGGCTAATAGACGTAATTCGGTAAGGGTCCTTCACTTGGCTTCGTGTATTCTCAATGCTAAGTGTCATAAACTCGATGTACTTACATGGATTATTTTACGCTACCACAACCTATTTTAAGTAAAGAACTACGAGTATATGCCATCGGCACGTTGATTGGTAGTTCTGGACTGGTACTACCTTCGAACCTAGTATCTAGGTTTTCGTCCTCAGAGCCTTTTTTCTAAACTGGGTTGCGGTCGGCTGTAAGTCTACCACGATATGACTGAACTTTGAATTATCACGTGAAGCGACTCGTTTTTATCTTTTTGTTTCATTTCATTACGAGATACAACTTGTGTTAAGTTGAAGTCGTCTGCTTTCTTGATATGGTTTCTGCGTTCCATTCCTTTTGTTTTTTATCTAATACGAACTTACCTAAACCATACAAAAATTTCTAACGCTGAGCCTTTTACGCGGACTGATTGCCATCAGACCTCCACAACCCAGGTGGGCGAAACTGAAATTCAGTAGCAAGACCTTTTGTCGGAATTTTTAGGGTTCCAACTAGAAGTAACAATTACCAAAGATGTTGGTACAGCAATTAGAATGGCTTAACGTGCTCTCCAAGGCACGGTACAGTTAGTGCCTAGGAATTGATTGATATCGCTTCATGTCAGGGTAGTTCTCTAGTTCAACTTCAAGAAACGAGCAAAGAGCTTCAACCTTAGAATTCGGCAAGATTCTTCTGACTCTTGAGTAATCGGTAACTTTGGGCGACAGTAGTCATTTACCATGACCCATCTACTCATGGTTGCACTGACCTTTTTTTTTTTAAACCGTAAAAAGGTTGAGGTTTGAACGATATTCTGGAGATTGGCTTTTTTTTTGTTAACTATAAATATTAATTGATTCGATTCCAAAGAACCAATAGTGGATTATTGAAGTACCTTACAAACATCGGTAAATGCGGTAATTAATAATTTAGGATGGCAAGTTTATTAGTATCGTTAACAGTATACAAGCATTCGGTGCGTTTGTTTGTCATCTTAGCAGTAAAAAAAAAACCATTAGAAATGATTAAAGGCTTTGGAATATATAAAAATAAATGGAGTTCTATAAAAACAGTACTAAATAAAATGAGAAAAAAAAATAGTCATTTCGATAAATTCAAAATAAGAACACAAGTCCAATTCATTGAATTATTCACTAAATGAAACCAATCTCAAATATAATATCGTATAAATAATGCGTTCGTAATATAATTTTATAAGCCAGTACATATTCCTACTCACGTCACATATAATCGTTGCGTATAACGCCCTCTATGTCAGCCACTTGAAAACAAAGAATAATGCTTGTACAAAACGCCAAGAACTACCGGGCATTACGCTTTAATTCATTAATTTTACAGCCTGTACTAAAATAAACAATCAACCATATGTTCGCAAAAATAAGGTCCAAATTTAAGTAAATGTATATTAACTAACTTTGCGCAAGCTAACTTCAGTGTGCCTAAAGGGGTTGTCATAGAAACTGTGAAGTTCTGCGCGCGCATCACGCACACAATCACACGCTAATACACATACTCGTATTTCCCCTAACGTGCGATAGAGAGAGCGATAAAGTACGCTCAGTGACAAAAGTGTTTGGGGTAAACAATTGGTTAAATATTGTTCTAATTAGATTATGGTGGCAGAAATTTAATCATGCTTTTCGAGCGCCCTACTGTATTTAGTCAGGAATATAAAAAATAATATAATGGATAAATTCCAGTATACTATTTGCTTGTGTAAATATAAGCAGAGTTATTCTATTTATAATTTCATTAGTATCTTATTAGTTTTTTCGTCAAGGGGAATACTCTTTTACAGTTATCAGTAAAATGTGGGGTACTAAAATGTAGTTTGACATTGAGGCAAAAAAAAAAAAATAACAATCATTACATGTGTTCTATTAATTTTCAAAACTTATTATAATTTTTTTCTAAACAGTACTCTAATTGGCAACGGCTATTATTTTAGGATGATATTATTATTAATGATTCAATCGTATATGCTTATTGGCATTCTGACAAACCAGACAAGTATCAAAGGAACTTTTCCTCAAGGTGTTCTTCTAAGTGTGGAAGTAAAATATGTATTTATGCACCAATGTTAATTTAAACTAATAAAATTTAAGCGCGTTTTGGCGTTAACTTATTGTAACAAAACCACAAATATTTGTTTTTATTATTTAATAAGAAATTAATTTTAGCTGATATATTTAAATTTTTCTTTAATGAACATTTTCCTGTATAAATATCGAAAACACAATATTTAACTTGATTGCAAAACGTAGTACAACTATATAACTCCCTAGTAAGCATTTTAATTTATAAACACTTTTGTGTCTAAGTGTAACGAAGTCGTCCCTCACACCAATACGATATACACTAACCAATGTGTGTGTGTTTTACACCACAGATTCTGCGCGATGGACCCTAGTATTCTCGCAGCCATGGACAAAGAAGCACTCAAAAAGCAGATTGAAAACATGAAGTACCAAGCGTCTATGGAACGCTGGCCGCTTTCTAAAAGCATTGCAGCGTGAGTAGATACATATTAATTTTTTTAAATTAGTAGTGACGTGTCCCCGTGTGTAGTGCTTAAAATCGGGAGTCGCCCAAAGTGTGTGCAAGCGATAATGGTGTCTTTTTCTTCGTTGTTGAGGTATATTATTGCGTACGACGTCTGTACGACGATTAAGGGATTATGGGTATATATTTTATTTTTCCAAACGATTAGATCGATTTGGTTAGTGATTTTGGCGCATTTTCAATGTGTTATGAATGTACATATGTATGTGCTGGTGTAATGTTTTGACGTTGGGACCAATTATATGGTCGTAGTGCTATTTCTATTAATTGTGTGCTGACATTAATTGACCAATCATATTCAGGGCGGAGATCTACGTCTTTTAACACATATTTCGTTTTAAACTCACAAAATTCTACCTTTATTCACTGTTCACTTCTATGAGGTTGTAATCAACATTTAAAAAAAAAACAGTTGTTTTAAACCCGTAAATTTAATATTACTCAATGAGTAAGTATTTATTAATGGCAGTATTTTCTATTGCGTTAATTTAAGTATTTGTGATTGATTTATAAATCTTTGAGGTTGGTAGTTATTAAACCATTATTAAATGGTTTAATTAACGTCATTCCTAGATGATATTGAAACAAAATTTTGTTAGTTATTGTTTGTGTAGCTAATATGTCGCATGTTTCATAGTTACTATGATTATATATATCTGATAGCGATTATCTTTTAACGTTCTAGCTTAACAGATTACGATTTATTACTGATAGTATTTGTGGTAACCCAATAATATAAAAATATAAATATATAGATAGATAAATATTGGTTGTATTTTCAAAGGGACACGTCGAAAATCGTCGTCCAAAATGTTAAACAAGCTTATTACATAAAAAAAAACAAAAACCCGACTATGTTAAATTGTAGTCATATACCTACTTAAAATATACAAACCGGTGAATTTAATGTTTATAATTTTCATACATCCAGTGTCACTAATACATGTAAGACTAATCTAACGACGCCCTCTAAGCCAAAATCCATCAAGTAGTTTAGAATACAGAGCTTGCCAAAGAAATAAAATAATGTGTGGAAAAACATAAGCCTGTTTCTTTTTTTTCTTATGAAAGAGGGGGCAAAGGAGTCAATAACTAAATAGATACTAAAGCGTGCTTAGTTTTAGTCCCATCAAGTATTTTTTTAATTTGCATTCCATGATGTACATTTGCAAGTCGTAAAACTTAAAAATAGGTCACAATTAGGGACCCTGTCGGGCACAGCACTAGCTAATGTTATATACGACATCTTGGCAGCTTCACTGTACGACTCCAGATATTTCATGTTAATCCACATAAACCATCTAAGTGGGGAAATCTTTTATGTGTGTGTGTGTTTATCACGAATTTTTTCGATTCGTTTCGTTGTGTTGTTAACCGACTAGAATTAAAGATATGTTCTCAATTTTACGGTCTTTTTGTTTGTATAACGTTAAGCGATATACTCATACTTGTGTTTTGTTGACTTGTTCTAATACAAATAGTTTGTTAGGCGATTGTTTTCAAAAGGGAATGGCTTTTTTTTTATTTGTGCGTGCCGGCAATTTCTTTATGGTACATCATCATCATCATCATCATCATCAACAGCCTTTAATAGTCCACTGCTGGACATAAGCCTCTCCTTAGAAAGGAGGTTTTGGCCTACTATACCACGCTGGCCTTTATAGTACAGGTGGGCAGAAAATCAGCTGGGTCACCTGATGGAAAGCAACTACCGCCGTCTATTAACGCCTGTAATACAGAAGTCACAAGCGAGTTGCAATTCTTTTTGGAATAAGTACGCTCTTTTATTGAAGGTTTGAAGGTCGTATCGGTCCGGAAATACCAAAGACGATAACTTGTCTGGCGCAGTAAAGTAAAAAAAAACAATTTGAAGCCCATGTAAATCTTGAGTGTCCACGGGCATAGTCACTTTCCATCAGGTGACCGATCAACTCGGTCCTCAATATAAAAAAAACAATGGCACTCGACAGAAGTTGACACTTGAAAATTTGCCGACACGAATATACATATATCTATGTTGTACGTATACGTACGTACGAATATACACAATAGATGTTTATATTATAAATAATTATATTATCAATGTATTTCAACCCAAACTCAACTCTCCTGTAAACGGGGCCAATATATTATATTGGCCCCGTTTACACGAGAGTTGAGTTATGTAGATACTTATAAACAGAGGTGTCGGTAACGGGAACATTGTCGCGAGTTCAATGGTTTTTTTCCCATCTCAAAAAATACATTTCTTAGTTAAAAAATGCCCAACGCGACTAAAGAAGTTTTCACTTCCAAAATATTGCTATTACGTAAAAGTCCAATGTAGTTTATAATAGTGTAACATTTTCTTTGACTGACTATCTCGGTGGTGCAGTGGTAGCATATGCGACTGCTGTGCTGAGGTCTCGGGTTCGACGCCCGACTAAATAATTTGTATGATCTGCAAATATTTGTTTCGTAATTTGGGTATTTTCTATGTATAATATGTATGTGTACACGCTCAGCTTAGTTTGAAACTAGATAGCGTTGTGTGTCCGATATCCGAAAAATATTATATTATTATTATTATTCAAATTTCTAGAAGACTGTTTCTACGCCTTTTCTGAAAGAGAAGAGATACCTAACACTCGAGATTTTTTCTTATTCACTTACTTCTTAAAACAAATTATAATTGAAAGCTATTACCAGCGTCTTTGATCACGTAATTAATTAAAAATTCTTCTCTCAACAGTAATAAATTTTCTCTGTTTTTGAAACATTCTTCATTGGTGCTCCGCTCCTATTGGTCTTAGCGCGATGATATATAGCCTATAGCCTTCCTCGATAAATGGGCTATCTCACACTAAAAGAATTTTTCAAATCGGACTAGTAGTTCCTGAGATTAGCGCGTTCAAACAAACAAACAAACTCTTCAGCTTTATAATATTAGTATAGATGAGACATCTGCGGTGATTAAAATCTCGGTTTAGTGGTTATTGATCGTGACTGCTAGTCAGATGTCGTGGGTTCGACTCCACCAAGGATAAAAAATTGTGTGGTAAGCACGATCATTGTTCTATGTGTGGATGTCTGGGTATAACTTATCTATAATATATTTATATATATCTGGCTATTGCCCGAGGCTCCGCCATCAAGCGAATTATCCTCTCCTCTCTCTTTCTTTCTTATGGGATTTTAGAAACGTTATTTACTAACAACGCAGGCAATTTTCATGTTTCTTCGTCACCTCTGTGGTAAAAAAAAAGTCTTTGACGACTACGTTAGCTACTATCAAATTTTTTTTATTGTACCAAATAGATTATTTGTTTGGGAAGGTTGTAGGGCATGTATCATCACGCTACGACCCTTAAAGGCGAAGCACTGACCACAAACGTAAACGAATGCATCTAAGTTTGCCCCACAAATACGTGAGAAACGCGTAATCAACAATAAAATACCAAATAAATGCATAAATAAATTGATATTGTTTATGATCTGTTACTAACATTAGCTTCAGTCTTTTTAATATTATTTTTGCCGTAACAGGTGACAGTTATCGCAAAGGGTTGTCAAAATGACAGAATTAAATCGATATACGAAGATATTATGTAATATGACGACTGGATGGCGTAGTGGTTTGTGTAACGGACTGCTATTCCAAAGGTCGCGGGTTGGATTCCAAACATTTGTGTACATGAACATTTGATGTTTGATTTGGTCTGGGTGTTTCTATGTATAATATGTATGTATTTACAAAAAAAAAGTATATATGTATTTATATCAGTTGTCTAGTACCCATGGTAGAAGCTCTGCTTAGTTTGGGACTAGATGGCGTTGTGTGTATGTGGTAGAATATATTATTATTATTATGCAAGGAAATAATTATCACACCCAATTTGAATACTGATTTTCCTAATATGTTTGATTATATGAGTTTAAGTCAAAACAGTACCATCTTGGGTAAGACGGGTTTGGAAAATTGCGATTCTCGCTCCCCCTGTCATTTGCAAGCAGTGGAATACTGGGGTGGATTTTATTCAGTATGAGTCCGACGGTAAGCCTCCCCCCCCCCCCCCTCCAATGTAAGCAAAAATGACTCATATGACTAAAATAGTGCTTAAATTTAGAATTGGTTTCAATAAAAAAGTAGATATGCGGGTACAATATTACTTTTGCTAAAAAAAAACTCTCAAGCTTATATTTAGAAAAATAACCGTTTTCAAATTGGGCACATTACATTCAGCGCCATTTTTTGTACTCAAAGTTTTTATTCCATTAAAACACATTACAAAAAAGTGCAAGTCTCGCAAAGCAGTTTTTGTATCACGGAATGCCGTGAAATCTAATTGCTACTTAAATTGTAAACAAATATCATTTTACAGTAACCGTTTTAATATTTCTTTGGTAAATAAAATAAATAAGCTATAGCTCGGCACCATATTCAAAAACGAATACCCTACTATTTTAAAAAGTGAATCAAATTTATGGATAGACATTTCATAAAGCACACTGATTATTGACTTGACTTGATTTTCAATTTAGTGGTACTGTCAATGCTTTTGGCGTGTGTGATTTCTAAACATACTCATCATCAGCCTATCCATCCACCTCCACTGCTGAACGAAGGCAGGGCAGGGCAGGGCGGCAGCACGGGACCGTTTTCTTCCGGCTGACGCAGGTCCTTTCCGAGCTGCTTCGGGAACCTGCACTCGGTTGCTAAGAGGGTGTTGAGTCCCGCCTGTTACCACTGCGATTGCAGTGAGGACTCGGCTCAGCACACACTGGCAATTTGCCCGGCTTGGGCGTAGCAGCGCTGTGTCCTTATTGTAGTCATCGGAGGGGACCTCTCGCTACCGGCCATCATACGCTCCATGGCCGGTAGTTCTGAACGAAGGCCTCACCCAAGGAGCGCCAACCATCCTGGTCTTGGGCAATCCGCATCCATCCGCTGCCAGCCATTTTCCTCAAGTC